GCGCTGCTGCGCCCCCTGACCCAGACGCTGCACGGGGCGGTGCTGAGCCCTGCCCAGCGCCCCGTTCCCGCCGCCCCCCGCAACTCCAGCGCCCGCGCCCCCCGGCCCGGCCGCAACGACAACGCCTACATGTACATCCTCTTCGTCATGACTCTCTTTGCTGCCACGGTGGGGAGCCTGATCCTGGGTTACACCCGCTCCCGGAAAGTGGAGAAGCGCAGCGACCCGTACCACGTCTACATCAAGAACAGGGTCTCCATGATCTGAGCTTGGCCCCTGGGTGCCTTGTGTCCCCCCCCCTCCCACACCCTGGGGGAGCTGCTGTGGGTTTGGGGACACGTCCCAACTGCCTGTGGGATGGGGCAGCTCTGCCAGCCGGGCCAGGCCCAGATGGGATGGGAAACTCTCTGCCTGGTGTCCCCACGGAGGTGCCCAGCCCTGGTGTGAGCAGCGTGGGGACCACGGCTCCTGTCGGGCAGGAGCTCTCAGGGTGACACCCACAAGTAGGTCCCAGTCCCACAGACCCACCCTGGCTGAACTCTGGGGAGATGGGGATGGCAGAGGCAGCTCCTTTCCCAGCCTGGCAGGGGTCTTCAAAGAGGAGAATCCACCATTTCCCTGCTTGGATCTGCCAGCGTTGAACCTCCACGGGCTGGCAGCACCTTTTGTGACATGGGCTAGTGGGCTTTCCTGGTGCTAAACCCCTGTAATTCTGGAGCTGGGCTGGGCCTCATTTTCCTGGTGGGGAATTAAAGCAGGTGGTGGGTTCCAGTGGGGTCACGTTTGCTTCTTCTCCGAGCAAAAGTCCGAGTCAGGGGAGACCCGTGGGGTGCCCAGGAGAGGCTAAACCTGCTCCCTGTGTCCTGCCAAGAGGACATGGAGGGCCATCCACCCCTCAGTGGCATCACAGCTCCTGTCCCAGGATAGGACATGCTTTCTCCTTAGGATCATAAAGGTTGGAAGGGACCTTAAAGAGGAGCTCTCAGGGTGACACCCACAAGTAGGTCCCAGTCCCACAGACCCACCCTGGCTGAACTCTGGGGAGATGGGGATGGCAGAGGCAGCTCCTTTCCCAGCCTGGCAGGGGTCTTCAAAGAGGAGAATCCACCATTTCCCTGCTTGGATCTGCCAGCGTTGAACCTCCACGGGCTGGCAGCACCTTTTGTGACATGGGCTAGTGGGCTTTCCTGGTGCTAAACCCCTGTAATTCTGGAGCTGGGCTGGGCCTCATTTTCCTGGTGGGGAATTAAAGCAGGTGGTGGGTTCCAGTGGGGTCACGTTTGCTTCTTCTCCGAGCAAAAGTCCGAGTCAGGGGAGACCCGTGGGGTGCCCAGGAGAGGCTAAACCTGCTCCCTGTGTCCTGCCAAGGGGACATGGAGGGCCATCCACCCCTCAGTGGCATCACAGCTCCTGTCCCAGGATAGGACATGCTTTCTCCTTAGGATCATAAAGGTTGGAAGGGACCTTAAAGTTCCCTGCCACGAGCAGAGACACCTCCCACTCCATCAGGTTGCACAAAACCTCCTCCAACCCGGCCTTAAAACCTCCAGGGACGGGGCACCAACAACCCATCCCAGTTCCTCGCCACCCTGCGAGTGAAGAATTTCTTCCTGCTGTCTGACCTCAGTCTCCCCCCTCTCTCCATTTAAAAACCAACCCCCTTCCCCACCTTGTCCTTGCTGCCAGCCCCGGGAGCATCCCCGGAGCCGCGGGCACAGCCCGGGAGCGCAGCCCGGGCGCTGCATCCGGCCCCACGTCCCCCCACGAGGTCCCTCCGGGCTCCGGATGGTGATGCCGAAGTTTTTCCTGCTTCCTTCCCCTCCTGCTGTCGTCGACTTGCAGCTTTGGCCTTTTGTACCGCAGGTCCCAAATGTGTTTTCCACGGGGGCAAGGGAAGGGGATGTTCCCAGGTCCTGCTCGGGCTCCTTTGGCTTCGGGTTCTGCTTTGGGACTGGCTCGTGAAGTGGCTCATGGCCAGGACAGTCCAATGTCCCCATCCTTCAAAACAAGCCGTGGGGCAGCGCCCAGGCCCCTCGCACGTGTTAACCTGTCCCTTAATGGCATAGTTAATGTGTTTAATTGCAGGCAGAGGAGCTGGCCCCGGGGGCTCGGACACGTCTGCGCTGACGCCAAAGCCTGAGCCATAAAACAACAGGGGACGTGAGGGCGTTTGGGGCAGGGCTGGGAATCTTGGCACAGCCGAGGCAGGGGGCTGGCAGCAGCTCAGAGAGCCACGTCCTGACTTCCCCATGTGCTCAGCCCGAGCACAAAACCGAGGCAGGGGGTTTTGGGGAGCTAAACCCACCGTGAGGCCTGAGCCGGGTGGTTGGTGCCAGTGGGACTTCCCAGGGGTGCAGGGACAAAAGCCACCAACGTTCCCCCCGGGCACCTGGTCCAAGAGGGAAGTAGCCTGAGAGGCTTCAGTGTGTTTGTCTTGTGGTTCCAGGGCTGGGAAAAGAAAATAAACCCTCTATCTGCAAATAAATCAGGGGAATGGGGCCAGGTGGGGACAGCCAGGACTTCAAACCTCCACAGGGTTGGTTTGTGCAACCACACACCGTGCTCAGGTCTTCTCCACCTCCACGGTGCTTGTCCTCCTCTCATACTGATCCCTCCTCCAGTGGGATGAGCTGTGGAACAGCCACTCGTGGCAGGGCCAGGATGGGGGTCCCTCTGCTGGGACAGGTGGTGGATGGGGAGCGTGGAACCCCAAAACCCCCCCTGTGATATGGTCCTTCTTGCCTCTCCTGGTGGCCACCAGCCCTGCCAGGACACAGGGAGGTTGGCATGGATCTAGTGACTTCAGGGTTCCTTCTGCTGCCATGGCCAGGGGGGACAACCCTGTTACAGGGTGGCAGGTCATTAAAATAATTACAATTTTGCTTTTCCCTAACCCATAAAACCCCAATCCAGGACACCCTCCTGGCAGACGTAGCTCTGGTGGTGATTTTTGTCATTATCATCCATCAGCAGCTCCTCCCGTTCATCCCCACAGTTAAACTGGGACCAGAGCCTGCAGCAGGGCTGGGGGGATGGCCCGGGTGTCCCACCTTGGGGCTCCGGGCTGGAGCCACAGGGCTGGGTGACAAGGTGCCAGTGCCACCTTGTGGCAGCTGCCTCGGTCCCCACGCCACAGGCACCTGCTCCTTCTCTGAGCACCCTGGGATCCCTGGGGCCAGAGTAGCTGGGCTTGTCCCCATGGGACCCATAGCTCCAGGCTGGCTGGTGTCCCTGTGGGACCCATGGCTTCAGGCTGGCTGGTTGTCCCCATGGGACCCACAGTTCTGGGCTGGTTGGTGTCCCCAAAGCTCCAGGCTGGCTGGTTGTCCCCATGGGACACACAGTTCTGGGCTGGTTGGTGTCCCCATAGCTCCAGGCTGGTTGGTTGTCCCCATGGGACACACAGTTCTGGGCTGGTTGGTGTCCCCAAAGCTCCAGGCTGGCTGGTTGTCCCCATGGGACCCACAGTTCTGGGCTGGTTGGTGTCCCCAAAGCTCCAGGCTGGCTGGGACTCGAGTCTCCAGGTCAGCTTGACAAACTCATCCTCAGCCAGGGGCTGCTGAAGATGCTCAGAGGGGTATGGAAACATAGGGATATGGGAGAGAGGATGAATCTGGGAGCCTCCCAAGATGATTTTGCTTCACCTGCCAGGGGAAGGATTTCAAGACTAATTAGGAGCTCATCTCAGAGCTCAGGGATTCCTCATCCAAACTGATGTGGCTCTGGCCTTGCTCCCTGTGCTGCAGCCCCAGGAGTGGAAGGTTAAAAATACAACTAGGAAAAAAAACAAACCAAACAGAAACCAACAAAAAAAAGGGCTCATGGGAGGCCAATTAATTGAAGATTTTTTTCCTTGGCACCCAACAAGGCATCAGGAGTGAGATGCTGCCTGTAGCAGCTTGCCTGATACTTGGAAAAGGATATTGAAACGTCGTGTCTGTGGGAAGTTCAGGCTGATCTTGGCTTAGAGAGGCAGTGGTGGGATTGTTGGAGTGACAGGAATCATGGTGGCCTGTTCCTGAGACTGCTTTGATGTTGGGAATTTTTGGTAAGAGGTATGCAAGGGAAAGGGGAGCAGTGCAGGGACTGCTGGTGATGGTATCAGGGGCTGTGGGTGAATGTTTAGCCAACAGCATGAGGTGTCTCTGGCAGTTTGTGGTGACCTGGAGGTGAATATGGAGCACATGGAGGACTGGGGTGTGGGAAGGTGTGTCACTGAATCATGGAATCACAGAATGGTTGCAAGGGACCTTAAAAATCATATTGTTCCAAATCTCTGCATGGGCAGGGACACCTCCCAGCAGCCCAGGCTGCTCCAAGCCCCATCCAACCTGCCCTTCAACACCCCCAGGGAT